TGTAGTCGTCTGAATTTTTTAATAATTGTTCCTAGCTTCCACTGCTTTTTATTATTCGCCTAGTATCGTGCCTGTACACGTTCTCTCACGCTTAGCTGTCGAGCCGGGCGTCTAGGTTTGATAGATGGCTGGTACTTGGGGTTTCAATGCATCTAGCTGGATACGAATTGGTCGATGTAGATATTGTTCTGCAGGCAATTTCCCATTCTTCAGGGGTGTTGCTCGATACCGAAAAAGTATTTCCCGAACTTTATGTCGCATTCATAGGGGTTCGTCGATCATGACTGCAAGCTTCTTCTTGAGTGTCTGAATGTTTCTTTCTGCCAACCCGTTTGTAGCTGGATGTCCTAGAGCGATAAATTTGGGAAAAATTCCGGTTTTTTTGCAGAATTGTTGAAATTCTTCGCTGGTGAAAATTATGGCGTTGTCCGAAACTATTACGTCCGGAAAGCCGTGCCGAGAAAACACGTTCTTTAATATTTTAATTGTTGATAGCAAAGTGGGCGCTGCCACACACGGTTCGATCTCGGCCCATTTTGATTTCGCGTCCATAATTACTAGGAAATAATACCCTTGGAACGGTCCTGCATAATCGACGTGAATGCGTTGCCAATTGTTATCTGGCTCCTCCCATGGATGTAAGGGTGCTTTCGGTGGACTGTTTTTCACGCATGCAGGATATGCACGGTCAAGTCGTTCGATGTCTTTGTCAATTTGTTTTCTACATGTCTCTAAAATAGACATAGCGACGAGCAAGCTGCTTCATCTCCGATATTTCGATGTGTGTGCGATGCAGTTCTTGTAGCACTGATGCCTGTAACGACAAAGGAAACTACCCATTATCCTCTGAATATGATATTGTTATCGATAGAAAATTTAGATTCCGTTGTACTGTTTTTCTGTGCTTCTCGCAAAATTCTTGAAAGATGTTCGTCTTTACGTGTCTCTTCACGAAGGGATTTGCATGTGATCTTTGGAGTTGAAATTCTGAGTACTGATTCTTCGCAAATTAGATGAACTTGTAAGCGAGCTGACGTCAACCGTGGAATCTTCGCATTTTGGTGAAAAATTCGTACCAATGGTTGATTGTCGGTGATGAGTTTGAATGGTCGTGCGAACAGGTTCCGGAAAAAATGACTGATTGCAAAGACAATTGCTAACGCCTCTCTGTCCATTTGAGAATAATTTTGTTCTGCCTGTGTTAAGAAACGGGATGCGAATGCAATTGATGGACATTCTTGATCGTTGATAATGTTGCGATAATATTCCCGCAATGCCGATAGGACTTGCGTCACATGCGAGTTGAACTGGCACTCTGGCAGTTCCGGATTGAATGGCATGAGTACTCCATCACTCGCAATTTCTTGCTTGGTTGCTTGAGGTGAATAAAAGCTGCTTCGCATTGAGCCGTCCACTTAAAAGCCGTGTTCTTCTTCAGTAAATAACGCAACGATGCTGTGATCAATGAAGTGTTTGGGATGAAGCGGGCATAGTACGTTTACCAATCCTAAAAATTTCTTTACTTCTTCAGTCAATGTTGGTTTTGGTATTTCCGTAACGGCTGCAATCTTTACAGGTGATTTCGAAATTTTGTTGAATTCGATGACATGCCCCAAAAATTCTATACGTTCTTGAAACAGAACACTTCCGGCGATTAAGATGTAAGTCAAATTTTCACAGCTAATCGAGGCAAGCCAACAGATTGGCTTTAGACTCTTCCTTTGTCTCTCGATGATTGGCGGGCGCGTGGATTTCGCGGAATGCGGCGCGGTGATACGTCGACGGTCGGCGCGGAAACACTGATTTGTGCGAGGCGGTATCGGAGATACGTGATCCAGGAAGCGGTACCGGGCGACCAAGACTCTCGGTGAGCGTAAAGAGCAACTCTCTACGCTAATTCGCGGTAATAGGGCTTGACGGAGACGGTGTTGTGTGGCTGAGATCCTCAGCGAGTCTAGAGAGTGACACTCGCATCGCCACGATTGGGTTGGAAACTGGTCGGGATCGAATTGTCCGTCAAGATGCGTCACTTGACGGAGCCAGAGAGCATCTCTCTACCTCAGGTTGATTCGGTTCGGAATTCGGAATCCGAGAGCAGCGGATGATCGGTCGGATCGGCTGGCTGTCTCTCTGTGGAATCTTACTACGTCTAACAAACGCGGGTTTATATACCCTCGTGTCGCCGTCAGGTGGCGGCGGGGGTAGCGGCAACGGCGATCGCGAGCGCCGGGATTGTTCGGTACGGTCGAGTATTACGGCCCCGACGCGTTGCTATCGCGGTCGGTGGCGCTCGGCCGGGTTCGGCACCGCTCGGTGTTTCCGAGACGGTTGCCGCGGTAAGTTCTTTCGGATTTTTTGGATGCGGAATTTCAGTAGCACCTCGTGCTTTTCTTTGCCCAATGGGCGGTATCCGGCTGATGTTTGCCGGGAACAATGCGTTTTCGGGGCGCATCGTTACAAAGTCGAGAAGTAACAAGAGTTGCGAAGATTGTTGAAAATATCGTCGATTTTCCGAATTGGACGATGTGCACTTATGAGGCGCTCGTTCACTTCGACTTTGTAATCTGCGCATAGACGCACTCCTCTATCCGCTTTTGGAATAACCACCAAGGGTGAGCCCCAGTCGCTGGTTTCCGTTTTGGTAATAATTCCCGCTGCTTCTAAGGCTTCAAATTCTTTTTCGACTTGGCTGAAAAGTGCATAAGGAATTTCTCTTTTTTGATGAAAAACTGGCTTCGCATTATTACGTAATTTTAGAGTCGCCTTATAGTTTGGAATTATCAAATTTTTTCTTCAAAAACATCCTGGTATTCTGTCATGATCTCGTCGATTTCATTGATAGCTTGAATTGAATGCATCGGTGAGATTGTTGAATGCTGTTGATCGATCTCGTTCAAGTTGATCTTCAATCGACGGATCCAAGTTCGGCCCAAAAGTGCTGCGTATTCTTCCGGTACGACATTTTCATCTTATCGATCGTCCTTTGTAATCGGCGTTGACCTTGATTTTCCTGTCAGGCACAAATACGTTTTGTGTATAAGATCGAAATCCTATTTTTACAGGATGTAGCGGAACGTCAAGTTTGAGTCTGGCGAATTGATCATCTCGAGGTAAAAATGTGTATCCTGCACCGGAGTCAATTTCTGATTTAACAAATTTTCCTTCGATGTTAATCTGCGTATAATAACGTCCTGTATCTGTTGCTCTGGATGGTTGATTCTGGTAAATGTCAATTATACAATATATGCCATATTCCGTGGAATCTATTTCATCTTGTAAATAACTAGTTGAATTTTGGCTTGATTTTGATTTTTGATCGAGTAATAAGCGGATACAGACTTTAATGACGTGGTCGGTTTTGTGACATCCGGAACATTTAAAGTTTAATTTATCTGACTGACAGTCTGCCGCTAAATGATTATTTCTGCCGCATCTGAGACATAACCCTTCGATGCCTAGTTCCTTGTAGTCGATTCTTGGTTTCGATTGTTTCTTTGTTTTTGATTGATTCCGTACTTACCTGTCTTGGGCTCGATTGCGGTTTCTTCGTCGGTTGTCGTTCTTCTGGTTACTTTATTGATATTCGTGACTGAGGTTGGTGTGGATGTCTTTAGTGCTGATTCTTTTGAGTCGATTTTCGAGGTTTCAAGAGTGATGGCTTTAGATACAATTTCGCTAAAAACCGATGTTTTAGACTGTAGGAACTGTTCTCTGATAGTATTGTCCCGGATTCCGCGAATAAATTACGTTAGGATAAATGTATCCGCGATTGATGCCCTGCAATTGCACGGTGAAATTAGTTCACAATCTCCGATGTCAGTTCTAAGTGTGCCTACGAACTCGGCAATCAATTGCTGTTCCGTTTGATATTTTGATAAAAATTGATGCTGAGCTACCAGTATATTTTTCTTGAGAGCTAAATGTTTTTCTAATAAAGCCATGAGTTCTCTCATCGTAAGTTAGTTTTCCGAGTAATCTCGGGGCTGCCAGGGCTGCAATCATATTATAATAATAATAATAATAATAATAATAATAATAATAATAATAATAATAATAATAATAATAATAATAATAATAATAATAAACTTTATTAACGGGTAATAGACCCTTTAGCGTACAAAGAGAAAAGAAAAAACAAGAACAATAAAATAAAATTAAAAGTTTACATCATAATATGGAGAACATTCAGGTTACAAAAGTAGACGAGAAAGTTTTTGTTTAAAAGTTGATACAGAGCCACCAAAAAAGTCAACCCTATTGGAGAAATTATTTGCAGATATTATTAGCCTATTTACACAAGAATTTGCGCTATACAAAGTACGGTGATACCCGAGGTGGAAGATGGAGCACTGTCTTAATTCTCTAGTCGAAATGTTAAAATAGATACGTTCCAACAAATCCGGACAATCAGTAGAGTAATTGAGAAGCTTAAAAATAAATGTAAGATCAAAGGTTAGTCTCCTACTTTCTAACGATAGCAGATTTAATCTACCTAATATAGTGCAGTAGTCATGGCAAGTAATTGACATGGGATTACCTAGCCGATAAGCAGCCATACGCAGGAATTTGTGCTGCACACGTTCAATCAATAACTGGCATTTAAAATACGGAGACCAAACTATGGAACAGTACTCCAACTTGGGGCGAACTAACGTACAGTATAATAATTTTAAAGTGGTTATATTTTTGAAAAATCTACCCCATCGGAGGATGAATCCAAGCGTTCTATAAGCAGATAAAACTATTGATTGTATATGTGTATTAAATGATAAGTCCGCACTGAACAAGACCCCGAGATTTCGAGCTTCTCGCACTGCTGAGAGAGGTAAAACATCAAGAGTATAGTTATATAAATATGAGTTATGTCTATGAGAAAAATGAATGATAAAACATTTAGAGACGTTAAGCCGAAGACAGTTCCTCCTACACCAGGCCTCAAGTTCAAATAAGTCATGTTGTAATAAAAGCGCATCAGCAGGTCCATTAATCCGACGGTATAATTTAAGGTCATCAGCATACAATAAGAAAAAGCAGAATTTAATAATAGCAGCTATGTCATTAATAAATAAAACAAATAAAAGAGGGCCAAGATGTGAGCCCTGCGGCACTCCAGACAAAACATTTATACTTCTGGAGAAGCTATTATTAAACTTTATGACTTGAGACCTGTTTGATAGGAATCAGGATATCCAACGCAAAAGAGAACCTCCAAACCCTAGAGATCGAAGTTTACACATTAATATTGTATGATTAACTGAGTCAAAGGCTTTTCTAAAATCGGTATAAACTGAGTCAACCTGGGATCCACTCTCAACAGCAAAAGTTAAAAAATCGTAGTAATTAACAAGATTTGTCGCTGTCGAGCGTCTCGGTACAAATCCATGTTGTTCTTTTATAATAATGTTTTTACATAGGGAGCCAAGTTATTATGTACTGATCGAATTGAGAAGTAATTTGGCACAGTTTATTGCTAACAATGTCTTTCATTTCGAAGTAGTTTTTGAAACGTTGTTTATAATTACGAAATAACTCTTTTTTTCGAATCAAAATTTTCGAAATTTAGGTAAAAGTGTCGTATTAGTGGCATTTCCTGCTGTTCCTGCCAGATTCTCGGTCGACGATTGATTCCTGCCCTGTGTTTGTTGATGTAATATTTGTTGAAGTATGCTTTGTTGGAATTGCATAAATTGTGCCAATTGTGACGGATCCATCTTATTCATTTGAACAGTATACATATTATCGAT